TAACCTGAGTACAGATGGACGTCCTTATTTCTTTTCATCATTATAAGAAGATGGATGAATTTACTTGGTATAAGCTGGAGTGCTTTACAAATATGTTTTAACAATAATTATTTTGATAAGGTTCTGACTACATTGTGCTTGTCTGGATCTTCACATGCATTAGTGGATTGACCATTTCAAAAACTAACACATTTTAAAAGAATGGGTTCACTCAGAATTGCTTTTTCTTTTTGCAAGTCACCTCTTATAAATAACACAAATGAAATGTGTTACATACAAATTACTTAAGCTATAGAAATATAATCTAAATCTTTTAATCATGAGATTACTGCTGGAAGCATATAGTGCTGTTGTTACATCACAATTTTCAGTTCAACATCTAAATGAATTGGGAGATTTATAAGATTTCAATATGAAAGTTTGATCTCGACATTCTTCTTCAAAAAAGAGAAACTTTGATTTCAATATCTATGGATGTCATTTTTTGTACTTGTTAATTGGAGAAGACATTGACCATGGGTATGAGGACTTCCTTGACACTTTTACGCTCAGAGAATGTGTAGAGAAATTAGAGCTTCTGAAGACGCCTGAGGAGCGCCGGAGGAGGCTACTCGCAATTCCAGAAGTGCGTGCTGATCCAAATATGGATCCTAATTACGAATCTGAAGAAGATGCTGGTGCATCCGACTTCAAGAAACAAGGTGTACAGCATTGTGTTTTCAGTCGCTCTTTTCCAACTTATTGCTAATTCTTTTTTATTGTGCACATTCCGAAAGATTGCTTACTGCTGATGGTTATGTAATGCAGTTGAATATGAGGGGCCAAGATACACTAGATTTAATAGAAGCCAAGACAAGCTTGTTTCTTCACGGAGGAAAGGTGAGATAGTAATTGTACTAGCAGGTCTTTCAAAAGTTGATTTTTCATGAGCTAAATAAAATATTTGTTTTGTTTATCCAGCTAAAGAGGGATCTATGCCATGTAAAATGAGTGAGAAAAGAGAGGCCCATGGAAATAATATCTTGAAGAAGCTAGGAAATCAAGATACTGCATGTCTGGCTGTGGATAGGTCTGCATCTGAAACTTCAATTGCGAGCCTCTCTACAGTGAACTCAACATCCACTAACATTAGTGAAACAGACAATCTTTGGCATTACCGTGACCCTAGTGGTAGAAAACAAGGACCATTTTCAGTGATGCAGTTGAGGAAGTGGAATAAGTCGGGGCTTTTCCCACCTGATATGAGGATATGGACAGATGATGAGCATGATGACTCAGTATTTTTAACTAATGCACTAAAGGGGCTGTTCCATAAAGCCCCTCGGCCGCATGATGAGATATCACACCAGTCTCAGGAGCTTGGTGCTGCTTCTGTAAGCAGTAGTGCTGGTGCGTGTAAAAGTGCAACTGGAACAGGGAGAGAATGTGGAGAGAGGGAGGTACCTTGGCACCTCCGTATTATAAATAACCATTCTAATGGTAACACCGGCACTACAAGGATGGATGGATTATCCTCATCTGTTCCAAAATCTTTGGATTTGAATAACTCTTATTCTTACAAACCCCGACCATCCAGTCCAGTCCCTTCATCCAGTCATGGGAACGTGCATGGAGATCCTCCACATGGGAAAAGATGCCATGAAATTTTTCAGTCCAGTACCGGTCATATGGTCCAGGACTCAAGTGGAAGCACAATATCCCAAATATCTGATGGCCGCAACCATAGTATGCTATTCAACAGTCAGAGGAATTTAGGACAGTCGTCTGGACAGAACTGGGGATCCTTAACCAGTAATAGAAGTTCGGTTAACATAGATTCTGGATATAGTTTTGCTTCAGTTACTGAGTCAAGTGATTCATTGGAACAGAAAGGTATCAAGAATTATCCAGATCTGCCCAGTCCTACCCCACAAACAAGCTATGCCGATGTTGAAGCTCAGGCTGCTGAAAATCTGCTTTCTTTTAGTTCGGTTGTTCCAGTTTGTGCTTCAAATGTCCAGGATTTACCAAGTCCTACTCCAAAATTGAAAGACGAAGCTCCAGTTGGGCAGGCAGCAGCGGACAAAGAATCTTTTCCTTCTAGTTTTACTGTTCAGCATTCAGGCCCTAGCTGGAGCAGTGCTTCTAGTTTAGTGATCAGTGGGGCCCAGCTTCCTGAAATAGCTAATGGATGGGGTGGATGTTCACCAGCTGTGAGACCATCTGTGGACTCTGATCTTGTATCTGATTCTTCGCTGAAACCAGCTCAAGCAGTGTGTGATCGTGTCGACGCACCTATTTCTGATGCCAACCAACTCGATCGTAATTCCTCATCTCATCCAATCTCAAACTGTTCCGATTGGCGAGCATCCTTTGACGAGCCAATTGAGTTCAGCACTTTAGATGAGGAATCAGTGTCAGATCTATTAGCTGAAGTCGATGCAATGGAATCTCAAAATCAAAGTGGTATGGCTTCACCAACCTCAGCCATGAGGTGCAGTGAGGAGATGATACCTGTGTGCACTAGTGACTGGTTCAGCTCTATTGAGGAGCTGACTCGCACGCCTGATCCCGCAAAAAGTGATGCCTTGAGCTTCACTGAAGATATTCAATTACCTTGTCAATCCTCTCTGACAGATGAACTAGCGGGGGCATCACAGGCTGTTGTATTTGATCCTTTAAAGAGGTCTAACGGGAGTTCATCTTCTAGCAGCGAGGGAGAAACAAAGTCGGCTGATGTTTCCTTTTCCCAGGGAGAAGCTGGGTCCAACGTACCTAACCCTCTACCACGAGCCAAGAAACTGCAGCTTCAGTGATGAGTCAGAGTACTGTACTGGAAGCTATGACCTCTGATTGTTGGGCAGCATCTGGAAACAGGATTTCGGGTGTACCGATTCAGGGATTTGCGAATGGTAGTCAGGATAGCTGCATGGGAACTGCACGGGGAAATTCACGCATGAATCGTGCCACTTTTACTGGGAATCCAGCATTTGGAACACAGTATATATACACGGGAGAGGTCTAGTTGTCCAAGAGATTGGGTTGTTCCAGTAGGGGACTTTGGATTTGGTAGGGATAGGTCATTCAGCAGACAGCCATTTGGTGCTGAGGGTTACTCTAGGCCTCCTACCAAAGGACAGAGTTTGTAAATTTTATGAGAGTGGGTGTTGCAGGAAGGGAGATTCATGCGACTATCTCCACCCGTGAAGGTGAGAAGTTAAAGGCGAGTTCACGGCAATTGCTTTAATTTTTCTTTTGTACAACCAAAATCTTTTACAGTAAGATGTAGTTAAACTCTCATAATTCAACCGAAAGAATGCCAGTAAAAATGGCAGGGTACAAAATTATTTTTCCCACAGAACCATAATGTTAACCTGGTAGAAACTAGTGCAGTAAAGCAGGCAAAAACAATTGTATTTGTGTATTATCCTTGTATTTGATCCTGAAAATATTGCTAATGTACAAGCTGCAGCAGTGAATTGATGAAAGTCACGAATTCTGTACGTATACATTTGGAGAAAAGAGGTTCTGCTCTTCTGAGATTGGTTATTATTATCCTCAATCTTGTTGCCATTTCTACCAGTGAAACATAACATTTTAGCTTCTGCTCTAAGGAAGTCTGAATAGATGTACTGGTTGGTTCAATTTTTGATAAGTTAAAGATGAGTCGAGTTAATGAATGTATTGTAACCAATTGCTTGGTCAAAGTAGATTCAACAATAACTATAACCAAACCCCTGTAGCTCAAGACTTGTGTTTTTTTTTTTTTTTCATTTTTAGGAATTTGTCCCATTATGGGGCGTTACACACGATGTTGTGTTTATTTAGTTGTGTTGATCTTCATTTATTTATAAAATAAAAAAGTAGAAATAACATTAACTGATTTATTAAAATATATGAATCAAATTAAACTAAACATTGAACAACTCTATCAATCTTCTTATTTTTTTCAACTTTTATTGATTATAAATCATCAAAATAAATGTACCCGTTTTCTAAATACTTGACTAATGTCTTGTGCAGTTCTAGTTAAGTCTCTAGACTTGATTTTGGACGCCTGCTATCAACTAGCTAGTTCCTTCTAGTTATGATTGTTCATTAACCTGTCTACAATTGACTGATAATAGTGCTTCTCTGATTCTTAATTAGGGTTGGGCGGTGTGATTGGTGGGTTTAAAGTCTATGCGGGTGGGCCAAGAAAACAAAAACTTCAATTTCAGTTATAATAGCACGGGCTAGCCAGTTTTTGGACTGATAATTGAAAAATAGCCAGCGTTTACAAAGTCATTGAAAAATAGCCACTATTTTACTGCAACACGAAAAGTTCCAGCATAATATACTGGAGATTGGAGCACCTGTGTATGAACTTTTAGCATAATATGCTGGAACTCCAGCACACAAAAAGTTCTCACATATAATATACTGGAGATTGGAGCACCTGTATATGAATTTCCAACATATTATGTTGGAACTCTAGCACACGGAAAGTTCCAGCATAATATACTGGAGATTGGAACATATGTGTATGAACTTCCAGCATATTATATTGGAACTCGAGCACATTATGAAATTCCAGCATGTTATGCTGGAAGTTCACATGTACAAAATTCGAACTCCAGCATATTATGAGCATATTATGCTGGAATATTTTCTTAATTTTGAACAATGTTTTTGTTTAGATTTATCTTTACATAAAAAGTGGCTAAATTTCGATTACTTTTGAAATTGTGGTTATTTTTCAATTATCACTTATAAATCTGACTATTTTTGAATTTCACCCTCAAATCCAAGATAGTATTCTGGATTTCAATTGTCCTGTTATAGTGTTTTCGCATTCAAGTTCAAGGTAACTACGTTTTAATGAACTTTCAGACATTGGTTATTTTTCAAAAGATGGTCTGAATAGTGGCTAGCACGTGCAATTTTTAGCAGTGGGAGTGTGGTGCAAGTTGAGACAATTTTTTTGAAAAAAAATCAGAACGGGCTGGGCGGTTGCAGATTAAGACCCATTTCTTTCGAACTAAATATCTAAACAGTTAAACCCCTCAACTATTTTCTACTCTTGCAAAATCCTTTGCAGCAATAGCTAAACGATATGCTCGTCAGATTCAGAGGCAAAGCAGGAGCTGTATCTCAATATTTCTACTCAACAAGTGCAACCCCAGCTCCTGCCCCGACACATTTCTTGGTGAAATACCTGGTTAATTCTCTAGGATTCTCCAAAGAAGAAGCAACCTCTACATCTTCCAAGGTAACTTCATGGAAAACCTTAAAAAATCCCGATTTAGTCCTCAATTTCTTGAAACAATCCGGTTTGGACGATACCCAGATGAAAAAATTAGTTTCTAGAGCACCCAAATTGCTATTCTATGATTTTCCCAAAACCCTAAAACCCAAATTCGAGTGCCTTATTGACCTCGGGCTATCCGGGTCGGACCTGGTGAATGTCATCACTAAAGATACAACAATTGTTGAAAGAGGTTTAGTTACTCATTTGAGACCTACTATTGACTGTCTTAGGAGAACTTTGGGCACTAATGAAAATGTAGTTAAGGCTATAAAGAGAACTCCGTGGTTGCTTTCTTTTGGTGCTTATCATATTATGGAGTCTAATGTATTGTTGTTGAGAAACTGTGGTGTTTCTGATGTGAAAATAAAAACACTTGTGCTTAGGAATCCTAGGTACATTACACAAAAGACTGAGTGGGTTAAGGATTTATTGCTTAGGGTGGAGAAGGATTTTGGGCTTCCGCTTAACTCCCCTATTTTTCCTTATGGATTTCATACGTTAGCCTCGCAAAAGAAGTCTAGGTTGGAAAAGAAGATTGAAATTTTCAAGAGTTTTGGATGGTCTGATGATGATATACTCGTGATGTTCAGGAAATTACCTTATTGTGTAGCACTCTCAGAGGTTAAGATTAAGAAAGCATTGAATATGTACATGAAGGAGCTCGGTTTTGAACCTGCTTACTTGTCTTCTCATCCTTCAATTTTGGTCTATAGTTTGGAAAAAAGGGTGGTACCTCGGGTGCAAGTCTTGAAAATTTTGGATGAAATGAAGGTTGAGAGGAGAAAGTTGGATCTCTATTATGTTCTGAGCTTAACAGAGTCGAAGTTCATTGAGTATTTTGTGCTGCCCTACAAGGATCAGATACCTGAATTGTATGAATCACACAACAAAACTGTGGCTCCTTAAAATTTTCAGTTGTAGTGCAATACAATTTTTGCTTTTCTTTTTTCAGTTTGTATTCTGAAAAATATAGTCAGTGTTTCCAAAAATCATTTCTGTCCTGATAAAGCAAAAATATCATGCCTTATTGTTTGTCATTTCCAACTTATTTTGCTTCCTGGAAACCTACATGTTAAAGCAAAAATATATTGTTTAAAGAAGAAGTTTGCAATTTTCAGGAGTTAACCAGGATATAATAACCATGGTTAGAATGATTATCAAAAAATGATTACCATTGTTCAGAATGTACCTTGTTGTTTAACTTTCTCAGAGGCTGCAATCAAGAGGGACTTGGACTTTCTTATGAGGAAATTGGGATTAAAACAAGAGATCTTCGCTTCTGCTTCCCTTATATCATATACCCTAAAGAAAAGTGTCCCGTCACAGATGAGAAGTTGCGTATGAGAGAGCATAACTAATATCAAGTTCTCTGGCTCAGTGAATCGAAGTTTGTAGAGCAATTTGTGCTGCCTTAAACAGGGCTGAGATTCTCAATTTGTAGAGTACTTTTGAGGAACATATTTTTGCTATTAGGTGCAAAAATTTATATCTTAAATCTTTCACATTCCCTTTGGCTGCAATTCATCTCTTCAGTAGTGAAGAATGCATATATGTAGTCAAGAGATTGATGCAAAATCATTTTCACATGAAAATCAACGTTTTCCTTGAGTTTGAGTTTTTGTTATACATATCATATATTTTAACAAAATCAGTTAATGATATTTCGTTTTATAAATAAATGAAAATCAACTCAACATCGTGCGTAATGCCCCATGGTGGAACAAGTTCCTAAAATGGAAACAAGAGAAGCAAATGAAAAACAAGTTTTGAGCTACATGGGTTTCGTTATTATTATTGACAAGCAATCTTTGGACGCTTGATTGCAATAGATTTGAACCAATCAGTACTTTTATTCACAGTTTCTTAAGAGTAGAAGGCTAAAAATCTTATGTTTTCTTTAGATATCAAGATTTAAACACTCTGTCAAATAAGTGCTGTTACAGAATTGTAAACAAGAAGCCCGTCTAGCTCAGTTGGTAGAGCGCAAGGCTCTTAACCTTGTGGTCGTGGGTTCGAGCCCCACGGTGGGCGCTTTTTTTTTTTCTTCTTTCTCCATTATATGTGGAGACAACCAAAACAAAAAGCAATGCACCAGCTGGGAATCGAACCCGGGTCTGTACCGTGGCAGGGTACTATTCTACCACTAGACCACTGGTGCTTTATTGTTATTTATTAGCACTGATATATATATACTAATATTTGGTAAGAGTAAGCAGTGCCATATCATTCTTGGTGATATGTTAGGGGCTATTTGGTTTTCATGCATAAAAGCTTAAGTATTCAAATTCCATGCATATGTGACAAGTGAGGCTTGCTCAGTTGGTAAAAGCATCTCCACCCACGACCGTTAGGTCCTGGGTTCGAGTCACGTTGGAGGGAAAGTGTGAAAACACTATAGATCCTCCTTATTTGGGAGGGTTTTAAAAAAAAAAAATCCAGAAAGAACTGACGGTCTCCGAAAGGAAAAGGTAAATTCGAATTTGTAATAAAAATGAATCAAAGGTTTGCCTCAATACAAGGTTTGCCTCAATACATATAGCAATTACGTAGTAGCGATCTCATTATTTTGTAATCGTAATTAATGGCAGAGGCTTTTCCATAATTAAATTTTAAATTGGCAGAATAGCCGGACAAACACATCTACTTATTCGGTTTTGACATCCCGATCCCCTACTCCACATAGTTTTAACCAGGCACTTGAACTTATATAAAACATTAGTTTTAAACACCTCCGATATCGTGTGTTGTTTGCTCGCGCTGATATAAATGACACATCATATCCACCTCAGATAAATTAATGCCACATCATTTTTTATTTTTACAAAAAATACTTTTTAATAAAAATATCAAACCCATCCCTTTCTTCTCCAAGAAAATCCAAACCTTCCTCCTCTCTATCCACCATTCCATCTCTGTCTCTTCCCCTCGCCACCGCCATTACCACACACCGCCACCCTTCCTCTTCCATTTGAAAACACTCAATCAAACCTACTTCATTTTTGTGTCCTAATTTTTCTCCATTACTCCAATCCATTTTAATCAGCCATGGTGTTCCTGCTGCCACTATCATCGGCAACCACTCCAAAACCACTATTATCTCTCCTCTTCTATTCACATTCATGTCATCCTTTAAAAGCCCAGACATCGAACGGATTTAAAAAAATCTATCCTTAAATTTTCTTTCAAGCCAAACACCCAAGAAGCAACACCAAAAAAATTAAAAAAGAAAGAGAAAAATATTTCACTTAGTATTTCCTCCCTCAAAATCCTTATTGACCCTCCAGCTATAGCCGGAAAAATTTATAAAACTAACAAAATCAAGGTTCGTCGTCGTCAGCAGTCGATGGCGACCCAATATTTGGCTTGGAGTGCTATTTTCAAGCTTCACCGTCTCTTAATTCTCCGGCGTCTTCATCGTCTTCTTCAGTTATTTTGAGAAAAATAAGAATTAAACAACTTTGTTCCTTGACTAGGTATTCTGCTAAGCTCTATCAGTCTGGTCTTGTCATGTGTTATACTACTAATATTTTTATCGTAGCTCCAACTGATTGCTAAAATTGGAGGAAAAATAATATAATAGCGTTTGAGAAAACTCTTCATGAGAAACAAAATTTAATATTAGAGGGTGTGGAGCCGTGCCAATTTCAATGGCATTTTTTAGGGATTTTGGGGTAAGAAGAAGCGGATGGGATGGAGATGAGCGAGATAATGGCTAGCATTGTTTTTTTTTAAAATTATTTTCTAATCAAATTTTGTATAGTTACTCGCTTTTAGGAGCGCACAATCACTTATTTTGTTTGATAAAACAAAACAAAGGCCACATAAACTTGGTCAATGGTCAGAGGGGTTTCCTTTGTGCAAAGAAGTCACACAATACAAACTTGAAATGTTGGATTTTTTCTTCTTTAATAAAAATGAAAAAACAAATCAACAGAGAGCCTGGTTTTGTGCAATTAGATTTGTAGAGAAACAGGGTTAATCATAGCCAATATTAATATTCAATGATATATCTAGCACTTTTACGGCGGGTATTTAATGTATAATAATAAATAAGATAACTTGAGATAATAATGGAGCAATAAAGACTTAGAAGTATAAAGGAGAGCAATAAATGATAATAAATGACTTTCAAATAGTAAATGAGACGACAAAGATAACCCGATAAGGATGAAATCTTCAGATGTGTTTTCTGACAATGATAGAAGATAATAAGCGATCGTGTATTCCGATTCTTCTTGGATCGGGAGAGATGGATAAAAGAAAGGAAGTGTAAAGTCAAGTTTTGTTTCTATTCAATAAAGTGAGCATCTTGATGAAATTCTTTACAAAAGGTCCAATTCCGTTTCTGATCTACCTCTCTTTCTATTTATAAGAACACATGGTCCACGAAACCTTAGATAGTACAACATAAGGGAATATCCATTAGAATATTCTCTAGGAAATCTAAATCCTAAGACTGGTCATCACTTCGTACTGAAGATGGATGCTCGTCCTCGTCCTTGTCTTCTGCGAAGCCATTCCGACCTCGATACCACTTTGTCTTTCATATCTGACCTCGACCTTTTGGACTCATGTTGACACGTTACGGCCATCAAAGTCTTTATTACCGTTGACTAAGTCAAACACATAAAATGAAGTTTTCACCCATACACTTAGTGCGGACGAAGCATGAGTGACAAAAATTAGCTAACTGCTAGCTTATAATTGGGCTCATACAAGCAGAACCATCAATATGGAATTTTAATAAAAAGCAAGGAAAACTACCAGCTATGTCCATTTATAAGTAGCTTATTATAAAAACTAGCCAATTCATAAAATATTACTAATATTAGTCAAATATTACCAATATTAGCTAATTAGCTATTTGTAGCCAAAAAAGGTCAAATTGTTGCTTTTTTTTTGAGTGAGTATTATTAGAATAGATTGGGTACATCTTAAGGAGCTTGAATATCAGTTTTGGGATGATTAGGTGGAGTTTTGAGGTGGTTTGAATTGAAAATTCGAAGTAGAAGATGAACATGAAAAAAATAATATGTGTATCACACAGTGTATCAATTGTGTATCATATATGTATCATATTTGTATCAAATACGTATCACATGTATATCCATGTAAACTTGTGTGTGTGATACATGCATAATACATGTTTGATATATGTGTCGCAGAACTACACATTTTTTGATACCAAATCAGTCAAAATCACCTCCAATCTTCCTTAAATTTTGTATATTGACTCATCTATATGTTTTCATTGAATTGCAACCATACCCATTGAAAATAATCCCCTTTTGCTTAGATTTTTGGAATCTTGTATATATATAAATTTTTTTTTTGTATTTCATCACCTTATTTGCTACCTCATCCATGAATTTTTTTTTTCGTCTTGCATCTAATATTGCTAATCATGCTTAAAAATATGGAAGGAGATCTTTGGGAGTGATTCTTGGAGAGAAAGAACCTTATATATTTGAGTTTTTAATTTTTATATGTGCTAGGCTAGTTTTGATAAGTTTATGATTAATGACTAGATGTTGGTAAGTTAGGATTTATTTAGGATATTTGTGTAAGATTCCCGATTTTAGATAACATTAATAGTAGCCCGCGTGATTGACGATCATAAAATGAAAAATATACTAATTTTAGCAGGAAAAAAGTCACGTGATGGGAAATGCAGGGCGTGAGACTGCTCATGTTGTTCCATAAGTTACTAACAACAATAGTGTACTGTGACTAATATAACAATTTGTTTGATTCTTTCCTGCACATTGTTTTAGTCCAGATATGATACCCATCAAATCCTTTTCTTTTATTCACGAGTCAAATTATTCACAAATCCTTTTCTTTTATTCACGAGTCAAATTATTCTGCCTTTTGCGAGAGGACAAAGGCCTTACATTATGCTTTACAGAATATAACTGACACTTGAGAAATTAGCTTTAAGACCATCTATGATAATCGTCAATGACTCCACCAGACCCAGACTGACTAGTGCAAATGTTTAGGTTAGTCTAATTTTTGTGTATTGACAGCGTAAAAGAA